CTTTGTGGTTATGAAAGAGTCTTAAAAGCCTCAGTTGTATCGGAAACCTCAGTGGAAGCCTTAATGGAAGCCTCACCATCAGGGGTTCACGTTGAGGTCAGGCAGGATATAACTGAAGACCCTCTTCATGGAAACCCTCTTCCGGACCTACTGTCGTGGCTTCATAACACCCAGGAGAGAGAGAGAGGGCCACCAGTACTCCTAAAAATGAGACACATATTTCCCATTAACATTAATTTCTTAACCCTCGCTGCTGCCATACTTTAAGCTGAGTGGATGGCTTGTCGTCTGAGGAAGAGAGAGAAAAGAGAGAGAGTTAGAGAGAGATGTAGAGAGAAAGTTATAGAGAGATAGATAGAAAGACAAAAAGACAGATAGATAAAAAGGCAGAGAGAGAGAGAGAGAGAGAGAGAGAGAGAGAGAGAGAAAGAGAGGAGAGAGAGACTTTCGTTACACCTCTACACAATATAACACTATTAAACACACGGGCTGACAGTAATTATTTATAAGATGCTGGTCAAACTTAGGTCACAAGAGATGTGTGTGTGTGTGTGTGTGTGTACCAGTTGAGGATATTGTTAAACTTTCCTCACTATCTCACAACCTGTAGAGAGGACTCGAACCAAGGCACCGTCGATTACCAGTTCAGTATGATAACCACTCTTCCACCAATCACATATTTTTTCTCTATAAAAGACTCGAACCTGGGACCACCTTATTGCTAGACCCAATAAGACTATCCACTCCCCCACGGTAGCCTTGAAGGTGCTTTGAGTCATTATAATGCTAAAGTGTGTTGAAATTACCAACACTCTTAAAGGCGTTATGACAAGCCTGGCAAGTACACCTATTAGTGTGTGTGTGTGTGTGTGTGTGTGTGTGTGTGTGTGTGTGTGTGTGTGTGTAGGTCTATCAGTTTTTCATTAATGGGTCATACATGAGAGTGAAAGTTACCCTTCATCTATGGCATAAAGCATCAGTGGTACCTGGCCCTCACCCCTTCCTCCCACACCCCTCACCTCCCTCTCTTCCTCACACCCACCCCATCCCTACTCCTATCTTACACCCCTCACCTCCCTCTCTTTCCACAGCCCTCCCTCCTTCTCTTGATCTTGTTAGTGGACTATTACTACTAATTACTTTTTGTAACGTGGCCTAGCCTTAATAGCCACACCTTCGCCGCCATTTAATCACCTTAATATTAAATATCCTAATACAAGAGAAGCTATCCTAGCTGTGTTGAGTTAGTTGAGCCGCAGGTCTATGCGGCATTCAGTGACTGTAGCCTCATAGTCAATATCTGCAGCAGTTGTCGGCCTTGGAGCCGAAGATCTCGTTCCCCTGAGGCAGAGCAAAGCCGACCGAAGGAGAGAGAAAGACAGTCGACATCTCATCCAGGCTGCAACATAACTTCTGGGCTGCTGCTTCTGTTCGGAGATCACCTCCGCGAGTCTGGCGTAGAAACATCTTGCACTTGGTCCACTACTACTACTACTATCCATCATCTAGTTATCCTCGTCCATTATCATTAACAATAAATATATCCTTTCTCCTCCTCCTCCCTTCTTCAATATCCTTCTTCTCCTCTTCCTTCTCCTTCTCTTCAATATCCTCCCTCTTCCGTCTCCTCTTCCCTTTCTCACTCTTCACCAACATTAAACAATCAAACAATAAACAATAAAAGAAACAAACAACAAAACAATGACAGTGATCTTACCTGGAATTATTGTAGGTAATTAGAGTGCATACACCTGTAGGCACAAGTAAATACGTATACATGTGAATCACTTAACAGGTGAGATAAACTCTTAATTACCTCACACACCTGTTAGGGGTCACCTGAGGGTCTTCCAATTATCCCCACAGCTGATTCACAATGTCAACAAACGTTTCTACATTCCTCACAACTGATTCATAATGTCAACAAACGTTCCTCGTCTCCTTCACAGCTGATCAGAGTGACCAATCAAACGTATCTCACTTCCATGTTTGTGTGTTTCTTATTGTATCTGTGTTAACTCTCTCACTTATCTAGTAGTTAACACATCTAACACTCACAGGTAGACTAAACATTATCACTTTTCCTTAGAACGTTTCTCTGTATCGTAAAACGTTCTCTTGGGAAACGTTTATCACCCACAACACAGGATGACTTTCATAAACACGTTTCTAACTTTTAATGTATCGTATATAGAAAACGTTCCTCTAAGCTGGTGAACTTAGCCAACGTTTGTTATCCACAGCAAACAAGAAAGTCTTTGAAAACATTTCCATTTATCGTTTACAAGTCCAGACACATTTCATCACGTACAATTTTTAGTTATAATTAATCTCTTCTTTTTTTATATTTAATTCCAATACATTTACATAATTAATTTTCTATGATTGAATATTTGTCGTTTTTACATATATTTTTGTTAATGGTGGAGATAACATATTTTTCTGGATACATTTCTGTGAGTAAATTCCAATAAGTTTTCTTGAATATGTTTATGTGACGTGAGCTGCTACTCTCAGTCACTCCAAGCTCAACAATGTGTGGCCAGGTTCAAGTGGCCACTAAGCAGGCTGCACTGAGCAGGCCACGAGGACATTGAGAGACACTGAGAAACACACACGAGTACACTGAGGAGACACACGTGGAGACTGAGAGACACACGTGGAGACAGAGAGAGACAGGAGAGAGACGCTGCCCCTCCTGTACCATCAACAACACTGCCTTCCTCTACCCTGGTGCCTCTCTACCCAACCTTCCCCGCCTCAGTGTCAAGGTCTGTGTCTGTCTGTCTGTCTGTCTGTCTGTCTCCAGCCATCTCTCTCTCTCTCTCTCTCTCCTTAATTCAGGTTTTCCAGATAGCAGTTGCCTGTGACCCCATGATGACCTGACCTCACTGACCCACTCTTGGCTGTAATTGACACCTAGGTCTAATTGGCACCTGGCACTAATTGGCACCTGACATTAATAGGTGCCTGGGATTAATATTCACCTTGCTCTAATTGGCACCAGGCTCTAACAGGCACCTGTGTCTAATAAGGTCAAACATTACCTGGCTCTAACTATGATACCTGATATAATTAGGATCAATTATAATTACCTCACCTACCTTGCCACACCTTACACCCACTCCACCTTCACCACCATATCATCCCTCCACCACCCACCACTTCCCACCCCCCACCCTCCTCCCTCCCTCTCCGCACAGGTCCTCACACCGATCCTGTGGCAAGACCTATAACTCAAACCTATTCTACCAAGACCTATAACTCAGACCTATAACGCCAAGAGGGTGAAGTAGATGGTAAACAAACACAGCTCATGGATGGCTTTAGAAGTTATTGAAAGGAGTTCAATTTAATAAAGAATTTTGTGTTTATTTTGGTTTTGTAGTTAAGGTGAGTTTTATTAGTGGACAGGTAACGTAAGATATACCTGAGTGTTGTGTGTTAATTAGTACTGGTGTGTGTGTGTGTGTGGTCAAGGCCTTCACCTGCATCACAAGTACTGAGACAGAGTACACACACACACACACACACACACACACACACACACACACACACACACACATACATCTTAACATGATATAACGTAATAACTGTATACCGTCCAGCCTCCTATCATGTCACTACTGAACTAATTAAAAGAATTATATTATTAATCATTAACTGATTGTTGTCCTCTGGTAATACAGTAATACATAGTTGTATTAACTTTTAAACGTCTAGTAGTATATATTAATATTATTATATTATTATAAATATTCATATATATTATTATTATTATTTATTATTATTATTATTATTATTATTATTATTATATACTTATTATTATATACTTATTATTATTATTATTATTATTATTATTATTATTATTTATTATTATTATTATTATTATTATTATTATTATTATTATTATTATTATTATTATTATTATTATTATTATTATTATTTATTATTATTATTATTATTATTATTATTATTATTATTATTATTATTATTATTATTATTATTATTATTATTATTATTATATTATTATTATTATTACTTAACATAAACATATATAGAATCACCTGTACTAGTTATATATTATCAGGTTAATAGACTTCAGTAACATATCTAAATTAACAATCTGTTCACGTAACCAACCTGCTAGAAAAGATGTATTTCCAGACAGACAGACAGACAGACAGGTAGACAGGTAGACAGGCAGACACACAGATAGACAGACAGGTAGACAGGTAGACAGGCAGACAGACAGACAGACAGACAGGTAGACAGGTAGACAGGTAGACAGGCAGACAGACAGACAGACAGACAGGTAGGAGGCAGACAGACAGACAGACACACAGACAGGTAGATAGACACACAGACAGACAGACAGACACACAGACAGACACATAGACAGACAGACACATAGACACACGCACGGACAGACAGACAGACAGACAGATAAATTCCCAGACACATAATCAGAGCGCCCCTTTCCTCCCTGCTTATCTACTTACCTACTTTCCTCACCTACTTACCTCCTCCAATAATCCGGTCCCATGTTAATTCGACCAGCCAATCAGGTAAGAGTGTAAGCCCAGGGACGCCAGCCAATCAGGTAAAGAGCGTATGATGCCAGCCAATCAGGTAAAGAGTGTATGAGGCCAGCCAATCAGGCAAAGAGGTATGATGCCAACCAATCAGGTTAAGAGCGTATGATGCCAGCCAATCAGGTAAAGAGTGTATGATGCCAGCCAATCAGGTAAAGAGTGTAGAGGCCAGCCAATCAGGCAAAGAGTGTATGATGCCAGCCAATCAGGTAAAGAGCGTATGACAGCCAATCAGGTAAAGAGTGTATGATGCCAGCCAATCAGGTAAGAGGTATGATGCCAGCCAATCAGGTAAAGAGTATAGAGGCCAGCCAATCAGGTAAAGAGTGTATGATGCCAGCCAATCAGGTAAAGAGTGTATGATGCCAGCCAATCAGGTAAAGAGTGTATGAGGCCAGCCAATCA